TCTACAGACCACTTATTTTTTGTCAACGGCACATGCGATGTGTCCAAGGGCCTTGCATGATATGAATCTCACTGGATCAATATTCAGAAACTAACTTGTTATCAGGGTAATTTGCATCAATATTCAGAAAAAATAAAACTTGAATCAATGAATATAGCTCACTATTAAACATATAAACTCGGTAATGAATTCAAACTTCCAGTAATAAAAAATAACTGCCTATTAACTGACAATCGACTAATTTAACTGCTAAACAATAACTGCATCTTAACTAACTTAACTGACAACACACCCCGATATGTAATGCAAAGATTGTTTTTTCAGTAGTTGTTAAGGAAAAGGAAGCAAACAAGGCATACTGTTATGGAGTGGGAACAAGAAAAGCCAGCCGAGGGAATACCATTAAAATTGAAATAGAAAACCTAACCCAATTTACAACCAAGCTCTGAACAGCTGTTACAACAAGGGATTTGTTTCTCCANCATGGCAACCTTGCACAGTATCTAGCAGAGGCATAGTTTGGCATGCTTCCTCAGCGGCACGATTCATCCATTTTTCTAATATAACTTCCGCAATAGAAGCAACCTGATGCTGCAACAGTGCTGCACCAAGGGGTCCTATCAAATTTAGCCGAGTGGCGGCAGAAATCACATCTCTAATTGTGATGAACATGTAAGCTCTCTGAGAACTAGTACTATCAAATCCTAGTGTTCCACATACAAGTCCAAAGACAGGAGCATGGTGAAACGACACAGTACCTAAACCCAGAGAAGCATCTCTAAAGGTTTTGAGGGATGGAACCTCAGAAAATACAGCTGAAGCCACCCTCATTAGTGCAGATCCTTGCGAGATTGATGCCTTCCGACCCATTTCATTAGTTAGGGTAGCATCCAATATTTTGTCAAGCTTATGCCAGTTTTCCAAATTGGGCAAAATGCAAGCTGAGTACACAAAAGGAAGCAGTAAGCTTCCTGTATTCTCCAATATATGGATGATAAATGTCTTAAGATCATTGGAATCAGACACTAAGTGGGTCTGAACTGCTGCTTCAAGGCCAAACGAATGAGCAAATCCACCAGTAGGTAGAAGAGAATCAAGTAACTGCCATTGACTCCACTGTAAAACTGGGTCTGCAAAGCAGGGTCTGGTGTGTCCTTTATCTATTTCCATTGTTAATCATATGATTCCAGCGCTGGCCACCACAGTTTGATTACTACAAATGCCCAGAGCAATAAACCAGGTTTATGTATTCAATCTTGTAAAACAATCTTAAAAAATTCCATAGATCTTTTCAAAACGAATGATATTCCTAACAAATAAACCTTTTCGGAAATTCAGACTGACCAAAGTTGAAGTTCCGAGACCTTATCACTACCAAATACAATAAGGTCACAGAAGATAGGTGGTATCCATCATTATACTTAAACTAAATATGCAGTCTGCAGATATATATATACATAGTATGACAGCGACCTTGTGAAAGAAAAAATTAAGATGTGACTTCGTCAAAAAATACTTCTGTTCTTTCAAAAGCCAGACAACTCTCAAGCGAACTATAAAAGCATGCTAAGGAAGAAGCTTCAATTCTATACTAACCAGAATCAAAGAAATGTATTTAATAGAGGCGAGGAACTTCTCTCAACAAATTTTGGAGAAGAAATTGCCAAAATTAACAAGTTCTTAACTTGCTCACCAAGTCAATATCTCCTCTAAACACAGTTGTAAAGTAGGTTGAATTTAATGGTAGGAACTTCCTAAATGTTGAAGATGCATATTCAATCCATTTTTAGTTATTTGACAGTACAAAGAAAAACTAAGAGAAAGTAACAGTAGCATTAAATGTGCACAAAGGTTAAAGACATCCTTCAAAGCTCTCCTGAAACTTAGAAGCAAGACGAAAATACTTTAAATGACATTACCTGCAAGTCAATATAAATTATACTGGGATGTGAGACTTGGAACAATCTATATATCAAGGTTTTTCATACTGTGATTGACACTAGTCATTCAGCAATTACAAGTAAAGTTGTCGCATCTAGACATTCTCTAATACCTTGAATCTAGTACTATCATCCAAGACAAGAAAAGGCTAAGACTTGTTTTCTTGAGATTGATTATCATCCTGGTTCATGAATTGGAAGCCCATGATATACCTATACTCTCCAGTCCCAAGGCAACGTGAGCAATAATCAAGACCACTTCCACCACAAGTCCTACACCATATTGGCCATTCACCTTTCGGGAGCATTTCCAAATGAGTCTGGTTTGTCCTTCCCCTTCCACCACATTGGTGGCAATCAACCCTTCCACACCCCTCACATATCACACAATGCGGATCCGGCTTCTTCCTCCTTTTTCTCCGAACATTCGACTCCGTTTTCACAACCCAACATGGTTTCGTGAATGATAGATGAGGAGACGACTTAGAAGACCGAGATGGGGGCAAACCATTGAAATTCGTGGCCTCAAATCGGACAACCACGGATAAACTCAGTGTCCCGAAACCCATCTATGCCAGCAGAACTCCAGTGCCCACTCCACTTTCACAAATGGAATCTGAAACAAACGAGGGTATCTACTCACTGTGGACTTCCAACAAACATCTGTTACACAGTGATCCCTGGTTAGTAATTCATGAACAAGATTAGGACAACTGCGAGTAGCACACTGAAATGTATGCATGTACTAGTACTTGGAGACAGATTATAATAATGGGAGTTATATCCATCTACAGACCACTTATTTTTTGTCAACGGCACATGCGATGTGTCCAAGGGCCTTGCATGATATGAATCTCACTGGATCAATAGTCAGAAACTAACTTGTTAATTTGCATCAATATTCAGAAAAAATAAAACTTGAATCAATGAATATAGCTCACTATTAAACATATAAACTCGGTAATGAATTCAAACTTCCAGTAATAAAAAATAACTGCCTATTAACTGACAATCGACTAATTTAACTGCTAAACAATAACTGCATCTTAACTAACTTAACTGACAACACACCCCGCTATGTAATGCAAAGATTGTTTTTTCAGTTGTTAAGGAAAAGGAAGCAAACAAGGCACACTGTTATGGAGTGGGAACAAGAAAAGCCAGCCGAGGGAATACCATTAAAATTGAAATAGAAAACCTAACCCAATTTACAACCAAGCTCTGAACAGCTGTTACAACAAGGGATTTGTTTCTCCATGAGACTTTTCAATGGTACATACACAAAACATTAGGGAGATGATAGGTTGACATTCCTTAAAAGATACAAACCTTGACAATTCTCTCTCTATAAATATATATTATTTGAATCATATTTTTTATATTTAATATTTATAGTTTTAGGATAGGTTGTAAAGTGAATATACTTTATTTTATATAGTGTCAGTATAATTTTTCAAACAATTATCCAAATTGATATCGAGATATGAGTAGTGGAAGATGGCTTTTACCCTCAAGGAGGGTATTGGGTATATTAGCACGGATAAGTGTTTTGTAATATCAACAAAATTATAATGTTGCTTACCCTCTTTTATTTTCTAGGTACGCATAGGTAATGTTAAATACCGGTCAGGAATGCAGCAAGGACTATTGCTAAGTAAACTACTGATCTTTGTTTTCACCAAGGAAATGGCAGAGAAAAAAAAATGTAGAAGGAAAGATGTGGCTGGTTAAAGTCAAGGTGCAGGTAAAATTGGAACCTGGGTGCATGTAATGTTTTAAGCCATTCAACCTAAAAGCGAAGGTCAACTACTTCAATTTGACGTTTTCCTGGATGCTTCCTCTCCCCACGTCTTCCCTCTTCAATCAAACTTTTGGTTTTTCCTTTTCATTATCCTTATTGCCATAAACTGAAGAAGCACGAGGCAGAATTATGGCACATTTTAGGAGATTTTGCCTAGATTTGATAACGAGTTATAGGTTTCAAAGAATCTCTCTGACCAAACTAAGCATCTCCCGTAAATCTTCCATCCATCATTAAATGCTTCAAGCACTAAATTTCTGAGACTTTTGTCCAACTTGAAACCTTTTCAATCTCTATGCTAAATTCTCAATCTCACTGATGTTGATGCTCACAAGAGGAAGCACACATACTTTTAATTTTCTCCTCTCTTTTGTTCCTGTTCTGAGCAAGATCTTTCCATAGATATTTTTTCCTCTGCAACCAAATGGATAATTTCATCCTAACCAAAATGCCATGCCTTAAATCCCAAGATATACGTCATTGGTGATTCCCCTTGCCCATTGGATGGTTCTAGAAAATGCATCCAACCACTATTATCAGGGTCTAATAAGGTCTTGGTTTTATTTTTGGCTGCTAATATGCTAATATACATAAACGATTTAAAAGCCATAAAAAATTAAGACAAACGATTTCATTTGAGGCAATGGCAAAATATGGGTTTTTGGCTGCAAAATCATACCAAGCATCCAAATTGAATCCGACGTCCTCTAGGCACCAATTGCTTCTTCAAAACGTCACAATTCTTCTTAACTATCTCTAGTTTTTCCTGCATAAAAAAACTTTGATGGTCGATATCTAAGGCACCAAAGTGGAGAACAAAAAACAGAACAACAAAAAATTTTGAATCTCAAAACCCTAAAACCTGCGACTGGGTCCACGGCAGGATTTGGAGGAACAACACGATTTGGGAATGATAGGGAAAGAGGCAATGGGCTGGGGAACGGCTGAAATTCGAACTGAACAGCGATTTCGGAGTGAATGAATTTCAAGTGGAACGTCTTCTTTCAAGAATTTCGAAACAGCATTTTGTAAATTTAAATTAATTGAAAAATTAGTAACAGTTTTTAATTCTGCCATGCTTTAATTTAAAAATAAAACAAATTAAAACAATAATTCCAATTTAGTCATAGAAACATCATAAAAAATAGCGTTCTAAGTGCCATAACTTAACGGTTAATTTTTTTTCCTTCATTCAAAAATCAAACTTGTCATTACATGTATGACAACATCGAACAGAAATAACAAAATAGGATTATGTTCTAGCCAATGGACTTTATAAGAATTTAAATTATTTTAAAATTTGCAAAATTAAACCAACTAAAGGTCAATAACTCAATCATTACATATAACAGTATTTGTACGAGTAATAGTAATTACCAACTAAGCACATCAATACCTAATTTATAGCTCCATTTCTCATTTAATATTTTTTCTTATCCTATATTATAGTCTTTTAATTTTTTTTTCTAAAAAATTTATAAATATTCTTTTGAGACACCTAAATCTTTTCTATTAATTTGATATTATCATTTTTTATTTTTTGTACTTTATTTTTTTTTTTAAATATAAAAATTTAATTTTTATCACTATTTAATTTTTTATTCTGTGTTAAATAAATGTAAAATTGTGTCATAGCATCATATTTTAGTGTAATTTACAAATGTTCATATATTTAATTATACTAAAACAACTACGAATGATAGTTTTAAATATATAATATGATGTTAATTGGTTAATGATATAAATTAAAATTAAGAGAAAAGATTTGAAAGAAAAAAAAAAGCATAATGATTGTCTATTTTTTTATTGTTTTCCACTTTATGTTGACAAGAAAATTAGAGAGTATTGATGTGAAATGTAAGTGGAGAAAATTGTTGTGTGTAATAAATCTTCTTGTTTTGGTATGATGAACACATACCAAAAACAAAATTCAATTTGAAAAAGTTGAGAGAGGAAAGGGTAAAGACCACAAAAGCATGTCCAGCAAAGCTTCTACTATTGATGGTGAATGTGTAAAATCAAACTGTCTTTCATCACTTCATATACTTCATAGTAGCCATTACCACTCATTACCAACAAAGTGGAGATCATGAATGTGACTATGTAGATATCTGTCTCAACAAATCATAGTGCTTTTCATAACTATTCAACGTGGGAGACCTTTGCAAATGTGTCTAAGCTACCATTATATACATAATCTATCAATCTTCAATTAACGCAAGACTTTCTTTTATCCATTGTCTTTTATATATATTTTAAGTTTTTGTTAACAAAATTTAATTATATGAAAATAATTTCTTAGAATGTTGATGATAAAATTTTACATTAGGAGACATACCAACAACAAGACAAATTGATAATTTAATTCATAATATGTTGTTAAGTAAATTAGTTATGTTAAAATTCTACACCGATGAGAATTCGGCAAAATTAATATAAATATAAGATAATTTCAATACATGTATTATTCATCAAATACATATTTATTACTTTATTTATATACTAACATTAGAGTATTTTAGAATGAAATGTCATGACAGACACTTACACTCTTGATTTTAGATTCACGCATAATACATATAAAGTTTATAGTGTTTAAACAAATCATATAATTTAAGAAAAACAAAATTCAACTCGAAAAGTATACATAAATTTTCTCAATATTGTATAAAAAAATGTCTAATTTTAGAAGAAAAAAAAAGTTTTGTAATAAAAAATTTAATATTACATTATTAAGAATATTGAATGCTATCAACCATTTCTATGATGCAAATTAATGGTTAAGTGTGATCAACACAAATGATGAATTTTTCTTTCTTAGTATCATAATTAACATATTTAAAATTTTAAACTCGATATTAGGGAGTAAATTCAATTCACGTAGATTTTCATTGACTTGTTAGAACCTATTTTAATGATATTTCTTGTTTCTTGGACATTTCTATTTTTACTCGCTATCGGACCGTTATTGGACCATCCAATTTTTATTATCACACACGAAATGCCTATACCTCAACGTGAAGGGGATGTGTTAGAATAAATTATAATATATATGTGGGATATAAATCTCATTTTACAAATCTATTTTGTAGGGTTGAGTTTTTAAATTCACTTTTTAATAACTTGCATTAGTAAGTGAGTTGCATGTGGACAATTAGAAAGAAAAATACATTGAACACAACGAATTTTTGTTTATTGAAAATTGAGTAAAAAGTGCAATCTTATAGCACTATTGGAAATAAAGCTACACCTAGTTATAACTTAGGTAGTTTCAATAGTGGAGAAATGAGTAGGTCACGCGTTTTTGTAATGAAAATGGCTCTCACACTCCAAAATGTCACATACACATATAACATCACAAGAAAAAAAAAAGTATTTATCATATAATAAAAATAGACGGTAAAAATTACATTCAAAAAATTTGGTATTCAAATTTAGTGTATGCTAATTAAGATTAATTTATTTTACTTGTGAAGTCTTATAATATTAAAGTTCCTTTAATCGGATGATTTTGAAGAAGCCTAAATGGTGAAAATTAAAGTTAGAATATTAAAGTTTACAATTTTTCAAGTGTTTTGAATCCTTTATTTATTCGTGAGAAAATAAAATTTTAAAATTCACAACACATTGGCATTAATAATCTGAATACTGTGAATGTGGCTTTCTATGAATTATTATTCTATTAAAGTTGGTGTCTCTTGCGCCGACTCACTATCAGCACCACCTTAAACGAAATTGATAATTTTTGTGTAATATATTATTGCAATTATATTTTCAACCCTAAATCAATCATCACTCTTCCCATTTTATATATCTTCATTAAACCCATATATGCATTTACTCATTCATAAATCTTTTTGGGTAAGTTTAAATTAGTTGAATATAAAAGTATTATAAATATTGGGAAGTTAACTTTAATTTTATAAGTTTAAATTGGTTGAATATAAAAGTATTATAAATATTGGGAAGTTAACTTTAATTTTATAAGTTTAAATTGGTTGAATATAAAAGTATTATAAATATCGGGAAGTTAACTTTAATTTTATAAAGTTTAAATTGGTTGAATATAAAAGTATTATAAATATTGGGAAGTTAACTTTAATTTTATAAAATCGAGATGACGCTTGTATTAGATTATACCTTATAAATTAATTTTATCTTAGATATAACATTTTTAATTGGATGAGGTTAGGTTTGTTTTAATAATAAATAAATTTTATTAAATATCAAATAATGAAAAATATAATCATATGAATATGTTAAAAAAATGTGATCCACCATTTTTCTTTAATTGTTTTTTAAGAGATGTTATTGTGTAAATTAAAGAAAGTAAAATGTTATAATTTTTATTATTATTTGAAATTCGTATAAATAAATCTCATTCATGTTTTTCAACTAATAAATTTTAACTTATTAAAAAGAATATACTAGAAAGTATTCTTAACATTGTTCTGAAAACTATGCATAATTTTTGGAAAGTGTTGTTTGCTTAAAGTACAGCACATTTTATGCGGAAAAATAAATAATTAAAAAATCAAATATTGGACTTTAAACTTTATTCGTACTAGTTTATAAACTCAGATTGATTCATTAACTTAAACTCATATTAAGAAAGTCATATTAAAAGATAAATTATAAATTTAATTAGATTTCACAAAATTTATAAAGTAAATTTTGGATATATATATATATATATATATATATATATATTTTTAAGAAAAATTTGGAACTTCTTAAAGCTAAAATCTAGATCAGGAGGATCTTTCACTTCTCCATGAAAACTGAGAGTAATTGCTTTTTATATTCTCTTCCTTTAAGGCATCCCATGAGACTTCTCCTCAATCTGACATCATTAAACCAGACAGAACACTGACAATTCACCTTTTCATAATTATCTTCATCAAATCCTAAATTTATAATACCACCATGAAAACTGCTCCTTAGATCTCACAAGTTTTGCTTCCATTACAAAGAACAGTGACCAAATTAACTATATCAGTAAAACAGAAATTAGCTACCTCGATACAAAGTGTGTTGTGTGCTTTTTACATCAACATTTGGTCATGAACAAAAAGGAAAAGCCATCAACTGTTTAAAGCTAAACTCTTTCGATATTTTCTCTTTCTTTTGCAGGACATGAACCTAGTCATATGTTCTATGCTGACAAAACAAAACAAATCACTTTTCTTTGTTCTTTTTTTAAGCATAGTTAAGAGAGACAGAGAAACAAAAAATGGAGAAAAGGTGTCAACTTTTTACAGCCATATGTACCATTAGCAATGGGAAAACGGTGAAAAGCAAATGAAACATTGATTAACACGAAAAAGTAGGTCATAACTCTGGCTGATCCATTAAATCATCTAGTGTATTACATATATGATCCAAACTGTGAACAGAAGAAAAGAGAAAAGAAGAATGATGGCAAGAAAGAGAGAGAGAGAGGTATGTGATGATGTTGTCCTTGGAAAGCAGGAGCAGCAGCAATTGGTATTCACAATATTTACTACATCAAAATTGCATATCTCATGTTGTCACTTACCATGAGATGGTTCATTTCAGAAACCTGTGAGAATTCCCCAGTTACCCAAACCCCATCAGAACCATTAACCTGAGGGTGAGAAACACATGAGAGTATTGATATTGGAGCTTGAAGAATGCTGCACACAAGCCCCCAACCATGTTGTCTTCTGCCTCTGTCATCTCCAAATAGCTCAACACCGTTTCCTGCTTCAAACATGCTCTCATCTGCCACTTTTGAACTCTTTCTTGTGTTCTGAAAGTTTCTTCTCACTGCTGCCAGAACACGCCACATCTTCTATTCCCTCTTGTTTACTTCACCTACCTATAACTTAGTATTATGTATGTATATATAGTTCTGAGCTAGTCAGAGTAAGACAGAATATTGGGGACTATGAACCCTGCAGAGAAAAACAAAGAGTAGTTGGAAGGGCCAACTCTTGTACAGGGCCTTTTAATAATGGTATTTAGGTGGTGGTGTTACCTAGTGCTTGTGTTTATCACAAAAGTGTCATTGCTGTGAAATGATTGGTAGATGATTTTATCTCTTAAACCTGCAGTGAGAACTTCAAATTCTCTGCTCTTTCTCTCTTTTCTATGCATTGAAAAAAAAATGTCTGTCAAAATAATCTTTTTATGCATTTGGGTTCTCAAAAATTCAGTCTTTAACTGTGCATAAAACACCCTATTCATCAAAAATGTTTATCTAGAAAAGTTCTGTCCAAAAAATACTACATTTAAGTACCATTTCTCTCCCATTAATCAAAGGTGGGGTCTGGTATGGCCAACTTGCCGACAAAGCTGCCTAATTTACAAAAAGTCTCTTGAAGAGTCTTTTTGCCATCAAACTTTGGGTTTACTTTTGCTGAGTTGTCGTGGTGCACCAGTTATAACACACTTCAGATTTTACCAATATACAAGAAGGAATTTTCATGGTATAGCTTTTTCCTTTACTATATAGAAGAAGGAATTTTAAGTGTATAGGTATATATTTGGACAGATCTGATAATGGGGTAGGAGATATCAATCATTGGGTTAGAAACCTCAACAGAGAATCTTAACCATGGATGGCTGATCTTTGTACATAGATTGACATGGCTTGTTTGTTAGAAGAGCAATTAATGAGAATAATGCAAAGTTTTTGGGTTCCCCACAAATCAAGAGTCAATATACCGGTGCCAAAATGTGATGCAGACCCATGTGGAGGGTATGTCAATGAGTACTATTCCTCCACTAGAGAAGCCTTATCGAGATAAAAATGCACACATGATTAACCTTGATCAGAAAGCAAACCCAGCAATTGGATTATCATTAAGCAAAATATGCAGTGTATTGTGCCTTCTTAGTTATCTAATGTTTGAAACTGGACTCGTTTTTTCCACTAATGCTGTGTGAGTCATGAGACTTTGACTGCTACAAACGAGAGCTATGATAAGTACTGTGCTAAAACTAAATCATGATTACTCGCACACACAACATCTAATCAAGCCATTCGTTCTTGTTTATTCTCTCATAGTTTACTCAATAGTTGGATTTGTAAAAAATGTGGACTTGCATGATCCACGATCGTATGCAACAAGTCAACTCATCACAACCATAATATACTAAAAAGCTCTCCTGCTAAAGTTGACACCACCACCAACCTTCCATTTATTTCATTCCTCTTAGCTTATTCCATTGACTTAGTTGCCTTCAACCCCTTCATCATTCACCAACCCTCGTTGCCTAACAGTACCACACTACATTCACCTAAACCTTCTTCCATTAGTGTATTTCAAACTATTTGACATAATGAAAACATAAACTCTCAATCAAAGTCTACGAGAAATGATTAATTCGTCTGGTTATCGGTCTTATGATTAATATTAATCAAAGTCTAAGAACATAAACTCTCGGTCGAAATATATAAGAAAAAGGATTGATAATTTTCAACGAGGAATTAAAGGATTAATGATTCGCCCTGTTGTAGATTCTACGGTAAACATTAATGTTTCAATCGCAAATTTGTTGAGTACTTCCCTTATTTAATCATTTATTATCTTAAGTATTATCTACTTTGAAAGACTAAAACTCTATCACCATTTATTTTTTTTAAATATTTCGAAGAATAAAAAATTATTTTAACTGTCTCATATTCTTAAACTATATAATATCATTAACGTAGTAGGAAGTGGTAATATTTATAAATAATATTGAATATAAGAATAAAATAGTTATAAAAGTATAAATTTTTATATTTTTTTTAATGAAAAAAGTAAAAAATAAATAAAATTAATATGAAATAAATGTAAAAATTTTAGATATGTAAAAAAATATTTTTTAATATTCATAAGTCACATAAAAGATAGGTATTTAGATGAATGGATGTCATATGTCATGCATATATCTTTTCTTTTTAGGAAACTGCATCGAACAAATCCAATGTGTTGATAAAAGAAAATCATTTTATTAATTTTATGCAATTTTTCATTGTTGGTTATAATGGTTAGTGATTTTTTTTTTCCTTTAAGAACAAGTTAAAAATTTACAAGTTGCTCACGGAAGAACAACTCAACATGAAGTGCTTTTAGCGGCAAGTTGATCACATTAGGGAGCAACCAAGGATATTGCCATGTCATAGCACTGGTTCCTTGGATAAGCACCAGTTTTTTTTATTTATTTATTTATTATTATTATTATTATTATTGTAAAATTCGATATTTAAATTTGTGGGTCTCTTTCTTGGATAAAACCGAGATAACACCTTTCCTATTTTATTGCTACTTTTTATTAAAATTGGAGTTTTAAAATAAGTAACGTGGATTATTAATGCGTCATTTTTTTTGAAGTTATCTATTGAAAAATAATAAAAATAAGAAATAGAAACAAAACCCAAATCAATTAAATAATTATTGGATATACTAAGTTATTTTCAAATATAATAAAAATATTCTTCAAATAATATAATAATATCCTTCATTCTTTCGCACATTTTTTGTGACTTTTTTTTTTTCTCATAGAAGACACTAAGAATTTATTTCTTTTTGTCTCCCTCCTAAAATTCAGATTAATGTTCTTTCAAGTTAAATAATGAACTATTAGTGTATAAAGAAAAACAATTTTTTTTTCTTTTTCTTAATTAAGTCCACATGTGTCTAATAAATTGGTGACTCGCTTCACAATACCATACATAAACAAAAATAAAAATAAATCATAAATTATACTGAAATTTTAATACCATATTGTATGGTAAGAAATAAATGACATGAAATAGAATGCGATCCTTAAAATAATCAAAATTCTTAAAAGTCTTTCAATTTCTTACAATCTTTTGACTCAAACATAGGGATTTTCCTATTTTGCATTCCACAATTCCTTTCAACCAGATATTTGTCAAGTAGGAGTTCCATTTGCTATGTCAAACCAATACATAGGTTGATTTTTTAATCATAACAACTAGCCATGAAATTTTAGTGGATGTAATTGATTCGATACAATCCCATATTACTATTAACTTAAAAAAAAATATATACTATTTTTAAGAAAAAGGGTGATCATATAAATTCTTAAACAAAATTTACAAGGGAAGAAGAAGATATGTTCTTTGACAACCATGATTGAATGTTTTGAATGACTCAATTATAAGGGGTTGAGACAAAAGCTAACTGTTTTTGGATAAGAATCAAAACAACTATGATGAACATTATAATCATTTACGAGAGAAAGAAGTGATTGCACTAAAATGTTTTTCACAAAAGTTAAACACTAAGAATTCAAAAGTTTTTAAGGTGCTAATAAAACAAGCCGTCACAACAAAGAAAAATGACAATTCAAGAATAATGCCATAAACAATTCACGTCTCGTATTTTATCCACATCAATTGAAACTATTTAAGTTTGAACCCACAAAATAATTATGAAAGTTATTCTTAAATGAAAAAAGTATTGGTCTCATAACTTGAGTTATTTTTCCTGTGACTTCTCTAAAAGAGTATTCTACAATTAGTGACAACAGAAATTACCAACAGTATGATGAACCTTCGTTGATATCTTCTCATCAGTCCACTTTGAATTGTTTTTTATTTTCATAACATAGTTCGTTATTAGAAAATTATCAACCGAGTAAATGATGAAATAAAAGTTTTCAAGTTAAAATACATTTATAAAATTACTTTTAATTATATATAAGATAAGTTTATGATATTAAAATTAGACCTTACAATAATTGATTTATAAATTAAATTAAACATACATTTATTTACTAAAATATTCAAAGACTATTTTAATTGAGTTTTAATCACTTTTAGACCTAAATATAGTATAAAGAACTAATACTATTTTTTGTCCAAAATTTTAAATTAATTAATTTATAAGTCTTTAATTTTATAAGGTGTTTAATCTTATTTCTTTTTAATATAACTTAGTTTTGATTTTCAATAAACATATTATATTTAATGATCGTCCGGTCAACTACAGATCAGATGATCAATCGTCGAACACTTTCATAAACTATCATCATGATCGAACAATTATGGAGACAGATTGAACGGTCAACTAACAATGATATTAACTTTAATAGTGAACAACTTAAAGTAACAAATGACTACCACAAATTGAGTTTGGATTAAGTTGTAATTAGGTCATTACTAATTAAAGATACATTCTCAAATCTATAAATATAAGTTTGAAGTAAGAAAATAAATGATTACATTTACTTTACCATTAATATCTAAATTATGAAACAATAAACTAACTTTCATGACATCTTTTACAAATACTCTCAGAACAAAAATGGACAAAAGACTACCAAAAAAACTTAGAATAAAAAATAATATTTGAATCTTTAGAACGGTTACCTAGACATGAGAGTTGATATCAACCTTTTATCCGAAATATGTATAATATAAAAATACAAACATTAATATTTATTATAAAATTATTCAAATTTGTAATAAGAAGTTGATGTGCTCCATTCGATCATTGTCTTGAGACCACTAAGTTTATATATTTAAATTTGTGTAAAATGTATGAGTTTATGCACGTTACTTCTCTCCTCCACTAGTTTCAACATATTTTAACATAACTTTATGTATTGATATGGTTTAACATTAAGCCATATTATTCTAGAGGAATCGAGTAGAGAAAAGTGTGGTTGACCCGGAAAATGATAGATTATACAATATTAATGATTAAATTAAAATATATTTTGTGGCAACATTATCACCACAGCTGGGGAAATAGCATAGTTTTTGTAGGCAAGAAAGTGAAATAACTTTATGAAATAAAATATTAAAGATTTATCTACGTTATCTTCTTTCTTCCACTGCCCATGTGACTTTATAGGATTGCACTCAATTCATAGTGCATTATTTTAGTCTTTCAACTTTTTCAATTATGTTTTACTTTAAACTCATGAATACAGACAACAATCATTGTTTTTCTTCCATTATCTTTTTTGCA